GTTAAGGACAGGAAAAACGTTGTTTCTATAGGTAACTACACATCTGAGGGTTAACTAGGTTGGGATTGTATTAATTCCATAACACACAATTCACATCATTTCCATCCTGATTTAATAAATATTCCTTTATAATAACACAAGAGATTGAAGACTTTTGTAATGCAATGCAGATTTATTCCAAATGACAAGTAGATCAATTTAAAACAGATAGGTTGATTACATTTTATGTTGAATAAAAGCAGAAGAAAGCATTTGTTTATCAGATGGACCATCATGGACTCAGGCAAAGTCGTTCTCTTGTTGGAACACACGTTGTTCCATCGCTTCCTGCACTTTCATCGCTTCCTGCGCTTCCTGCGCTTTCATCGCTTCAAGTTCTTCCCCGCTCAACATTCTGGTGCAGAGAGAGAAAAGATCCGTAGAGTTTAGACAAAAATAAAACAAATCATGCATAAAAAGCACTTTTAAATAATTGAAACATCAAGAAAAATACCTTACCCATGGACTCTTTTGGCAGCTAATTAAAAAAGAGAGATTAAAACGTTTAGTGCGATGCATTATTCTTTGTGATACTTTGCATTATAATTTATTATAAGCCGTTTTATAAACATTCATTATTATATTGGAGTTCTAATATTTGATTTGGAAGAGAGTAGCACACAAGGGAAAAACCCCAAAAGCATTATGGACCCTCTTTAAGTGATGCGACGTAACTACAATTTCTGCATTAGTTTGGAACCAAATTGTTGGCGGGTCCAAAATTCCCCAAAACGATTTTTGCTTTTTTATGTTAGAATGGACTAAAATGCCAAAGCAATACATTTACTGTCAGTGGACACACAATGTGACCTTACCATCCAATGCATGACCGATATGATGCCAAAAAAAACCCTCCCCAGGTTCAGCCATGAGGACCACCAGCGTCAACACCAGGAACATCATAGCACACTTCATTCTGAAAAACAAAAACACAACATGTGTCACTCAATCAAACTATTTCATCCACCAATTTACTAGAGCTATCAGTCAGTGTATATTCAATGTCAAATCCCAAAGACTTCATTAAATAACAAAAACGTAAAATATTTCACCTGATTGAGAGTCTGAACCAAGAGGCTTGTCAAGAGTGCAAAATGAGATCTTGAAGTGATGTGAATCTCTGTGTCGAACCTGTGTCTTTATAAAGGTATGGTGGAACTTTACATATATTTGGCAAGATTGTATATATCATTGTATTTTGCAATATGATGTTCTGTCTAGACGATGACAACAGATTCTTTCCACATCGATGGGGAAATATCTTGATTTGCAACTTTCAACATTTAAATATTTTCTGAAGGTCTTACCTAACTTCTATGTGTTAGCTTAAGGAAAAAAACTGTATCCTCATTGACCCAAAATATGGGCTAACTAAACTGACCCTAGAGAAATGGGTCAGAAAAGCTTAGCAATCATTTTCTTTGTTTATTTAAATGAGTTAATCTTAATCGTAATTAATAAAAAAAACAAATACATTCTGAGTTATCTTTTAAATAAGACAAGGCAGACATATTTTGCCGTTACAGTGCAGATTTATTATAATTTGAGCAATGGTTAGCACATTGAGTAAATTCAAGGAAGCGATGAAAGCGCAGGAAGCGATGGAACAACGTGCATTCCAACAAGAGAACGACTTTGCCTGAGTCCATGATGGTCCATCTGATAAACAAATGCTTTCTTCTGCTTTTATTCAACATAAAATGTAATCAACCTATCTGTTTCATTTTTAAAGAAGCATTTATTTTCATCTGAATCAAAGTTTTGGGGATTTCTCCATCAGACAAACGTTCTCTCTTGTTCCAGCGCACACTCCAACGCTTCCTGCTCCATCATCGCTTCGTATTTTTTATTCCCGAAAAGTCTGGTGGTTGGAGAGAGGAGATTCAAAGAGTTCAGCTCAGGAATTAAACAAATAATGCAACAAGAGCCCTTTTTTATTATAAATGTAAACAAGTATCAAGCAAAAGACCTTACCTATGGAAGACTTGAGAGAAAAACAAAGGGGACATTGCATTTATGTTTGTATGCAGTATAATTCATCATAATATATTGTAAGGCTTTATCGACTTTTATTAAGATATTGCGGATGTAATATTGATAACAAAGCTGAACTTATTTTGCAATGCCTTTCTTTAGGAAACAAAAAAAAAAAGGAAAACTTCTCAAATGCACCCTATTTCCTTTTTATTTAAATCACAAAGCAGCTCAATAAGACTCAACACAATATCATGATTTGTCCAAACATAAGACAACCACACCATTAAAGGTAGGGTAGGTAAGAATGGAGAAACCAGCTCGAGTGTGCTCGAATTTGAAAGTACACAACCGGAAAAAACCTGGCTCTTCCTTCAGACTTCCTTACAGAACCCCTCCTCCAACACACACAAACGTGCACATGACCAATGAGGGCACAAGATAAGTTTGTGCACAGATGGAAGGCTGACAGGCAGGTAGGCCATCCAGTTATTTTAGCCGTGCTGGCTCAGATGATTGGTTGTGCTTTTTACAGCGCTACGGCTTCCACAGATGACATTTTTTTATGTATTTATTGTCAAAGGACTTAATG